TGTGTGTGTGTGTGTGTGTGTGTGTGTGTGTGTGTGTGTGTGTGTGTGTGTGTGTGTGTTTGAATGTCCTGCCTTGAACAGAGAGCAAAACGGGCTAAGCTTTTCATCTGCCTCTTGCCTTCCATGTTCCAGGTTTAGGCCACCTCTAAATAGAGGTTGCCCACCTCTATTCTTATAGTTTCCACTCACTCCTCTGAAAGACATTGAGTGGAAGGTTTTATTTTTTTGTTTGTGTTTTTATTTTTTAAAGGATTGATTTTATTTGTGTGTGTGTGTGGGGGGGGTTATGTGTACATGTATGTGAGTGTCTGCCGAGGCCAGAAGTTAGTGTTGGCTATGAGCCTCTACCTATTGGTACTGGAACCGAACTCTGGAAGAGCAGCAAGCACTCTTAACCAGTGAGCCATCTCTTCAGCCCCTGACATTGACTTTAATTAAGCACCTAACATCTGCCAAGATGTTTTCAATTTATAGCAACTCTGCAAAACAAGGATTATTATTCTCATTGCAAGGGTAACCAGTATGTTGAGTCAATAGGACCCATGAGATCAATTCAGAAGGAAAATGCATTTTTGTTTGCCACTGTCCTTTTAAATGTATTTGGAGGTTTGCTTTTCCTCTTGGCACTAGGTAAAATCTCTAAGTTCTCTGTTCATTCTAAGGGGATGCAAACCATTTGAAGTCACCAATATAGGTTCTCAAATTAGTATTATAAGTGTCTGGCTTGGCATAATAATCACCATATTGATCTTTATACAATGATATGCTAATTAAGCTATTGTGGCTTTGTGCTTGCAGAGAACATTGAGCGTTTGGTGATTAATTTTCACTCATTCAGGGTCCACTGAAGGTCAGGAGATGCTTCTGGGCAGCTGTCCTCCATGTGGTGACTCAGCCATCCAGGCACTTTGATCCATGCTTCTATTACTAACCAGTGATTTAGCCCTGGACAACTGCAAAAGAGAGAATGTAACCAACCTCACAGAACACTCCCAGTGCGGAAATCTGGATATGAAGAGTGCTTTCAGTCACACTTACCTCCCTGTAACCAGCCACAATGTTCTACTTCTGGGACCTGGGAAGTAAATATGATTCAGGAGAATTTGATGAGATTATGACATTGCCTCAACCAAGGTAACCCTTGCCTAGCTTAGCTGGTGTAGATGGTTCCTATCACACAGCTATGGTACCTATTACCCTTCCTTTTGAGGTATCTCCTCTCAATGACTTGGATCCATGGAGAGAAGAAAAGTAAGAAAAAAGGGAAAGATTTTTCCTGACAGTCGAGTCTTTGAGGGCTGTAAGTGGGGTAGGTCTGGAGATGGCTAAAGCTGCCTTGCCTTAAATGGGTGAGATCATGGCTTGTCAGAGGATCCTTGGGAAACTGCCAGCATTTCTGATGGCTTGAGTTTTGCATCACCTTACTATTAGCCACCCTCTCCTCAGTTTTCTATTTTCTTTTTATAATTACATGTGTTTTATTTTTATTTTTATGAAAATTTTAATGTATTATCTGGTAATTTATTACATATGTGTAATATATTTTTATAATATTCACACAAAGTGATTTGGGGCCTATGTAAAGTCAGTCCACCATGGAATCTGCATTCTAGGTCATGTTCATTCATATTTGGCTCCAGAATAAGCCATCTTTTATCCCTTTTGAGGTGAGAGTGGTTTCTTGCAACAAAGACCATGTTCCAATGTTCCAATATTGTAGCAGTTTATGAAGTTTTTACAGCAACAGAATGAAGAAAGTCATAAATCAACATACTTTTCAAGAACTTCGGTGAGTGCCGTAGGTGGTAGGGTAGAGAAATACTGCAATAGGCCTTAAATGGCATTCTTAGTCTTTGGGTTGATGGAAGCTAGGGAGCTGTTTGTAGGCTCCAAAGATTTTTTTACCACAAAGTCAGAAGGGTGTTAGGTCACATACAAAAGAGTGTTGTGTGACATTTTGATTGTGTTCTGACAAAGCTTGCTTGGAGTCAGAGGGTGGTGCTAGCCACTAGCTGACCAAAATTAACCATAGAGGTTTGGAGGACTTTAGACAGTGAGGTGACAGGAAGTAGTAAAGACAGAGGAATGGAAGAGGTAGGCAGCGACTGGTGGCTGCTCCCTTCTTACCCGACACCTGACTCCAGATTTTTTATTGACTAAGAATGACTAGATAAGGCTTCAGAGGAGGGCAATATATGGGTATTAAGGGGGCTAAAGATGGCCCAAGATCACTTGGCTCTAGACTTGTAACATTCCAACCTCTCCATCACATTGAAGTTGTAGTCAACTAACCAGCTTTATAGAGGTTCAGTGTAGGGTGTGGCTCTCTTCTAGGAACTTTTGTTTCCAGTGGGCTCACATTCATACAGCAGGAACTCAGTTTCATAACTAAAGTGTATGACTTGCCCTCATGCTCCTATGGGCATGAAGGACTCAGACACCTGTTTCTGTGTTATCCTCAATGCAGTGGACAACACCTGGCTTTCTAAGGGAAGATCTCCACTGAAGCAAAGCATACACACCCCTCCCTCTTCTGGGGAAGGAAAGCTCTGAGTTAGCTTATTCCAGAACCACCTGCTTCTAACTCCCCACCCTCTCTTAAAAAAGAAATTATGTGTATGTGAGGGGTGGAATATGTGTGCATGAGTGAAGTTGTCTGCATGCAATTCCCGGGGGCTGGAGTTACAGGCAGGTGTTACCTGCCCAATGTGGGCACTGGGAACAAAACTCCTGTATTATGCAAAAACAAGTCATGCTGTTGATTGCTGAGACATGTCTCCAGTCCCTTTAAATCCTCTCTTAAGTTCCAACAAACTGACAGTATATGATTGCTTTCTTATTTAAGCAAGGATTTATTACAACAATATCAGAACACCTCATTGGGACCCAGAAGCCTGAACTCACTGGAGTCTAGAGATTACTGTGAGAACAAGGCCTCCGATTCCTCCAGGACTCTCCCCATGTCTCATGGTCTTGCTTTTTTCCCTTTTGGTTTATCCTTTTCCTGATTTATAATATGATGATGATTTGACTTCTTCACTTCTCTCATCTAATCATTTTCATAGCCCAGCTAAAAAGGAGAAGGAGGGAGCACAACTTTCAAACCTCTCATGCCAATCACCCAGACTCCCAGTCCAAGGGGAGTCTCAGAGCCCTAGCCTAGCCCTATCAGTCAGCTTGTAGACAGGGTGTCCTTATAGGGACACAGCTGCCTGCAACTTTGGGTCACAGAAAAGGCTGAAGAAGAGGAAACCTCTCTTGTTGGCAGAATAGGTTGAAGGGCTGGAAATCTGCAATCTTCCAGCTGCTTAGCCGTTTGGACTTGTGCAAATGTGCCAAGGAGTTCAAACTCTAGCTCCCAGAGCACTGGAAGGTAGAAACTAGTTTTAGTTTGTACAACTGACATGGAAATCAAGCCAGCTAGAAAAGCTCCCTCTTCTGGTCACTTTTTACAAATGAAGGCTTCTTTCCTATATATTAAAAAATGTTTCTTGAGTCAGTGGTTAAGAGCAATTGCTGCTCTTCCACAGGAACTGAGTTTTGTTCCCAGCATCTACAATGTCAACTTACAACTGCCTGTAATACAGGCTCTGGGGGACTCTGAGGCCCTCTTCTGGCCTCCATGGGCACTGCACACATGTAATGCATATACATGCGTGCAGACATAGCATTCATACACATAAAGCTTGTTAAGCTTTTTTCTTTAAATATTTAGATGTTTTCTCGACAGTCCTGTCTCACAAACAAAACTGAAAATATGTACATTCTAGAGTTATGTCTTGTCACTTTCTTATTTTATGCCTTAAATGATCTCCAGTGCTATCCTATCTATAAAAACAAATGAATCAGTGGTCCCAGAGGACAGTGTCCTTTTGTTTACACCCACTAAAACTGTCCTTCCAAGAAAACCCAAGAGTTAGCCATAAATACAGTTAAAGTTTAAAATGACAACTAAGCACAACAGGTATAAAGAGAATTGCTCAACAAATATTTGCTAATTGGCTCAGAGACTCATGGGATTCTGCTCTGTGTTGTTTCTGCTTCATGCCCATGTCCTAGACCACCAAGTGGAAACTTCTCTCTACCTTCCATCATCTCACTTGAAGTCTACTCGCTAGTAATTGAGGTCTGGGATTTTCTCAGAGCTATGCTTTCAAAGTCTTCTACTCCTAAATCATTTTGCCTTCAAAGAAACCAGACTTCAGATTCCAAGCAAGGGAAATTGGGGATGCTGAAGGAAGAAGAGGAGAGTCACTGTAGAATAACCTTGAACTTCGATTTATTTATCTGCAGCTTGGAGTATAGACACATCACTGAGAGGATGGAACCGAGACAAATCTAAAGAGAAGGTCAGAGGGATGAGTTCGATAAGGTTGACTTGTTTAGGCATTAGATAGCCAAAATCTGCAAAAGCCAATCAGTATTTAAAAATCCCACTAAGACTCTACTAGGGAGCGGGAAAGTTGATGCTTGCTAATTTCAGGAAGTAACTGAGTAGTTATAAGTTCCTTAAATTAATTGATGGTTTTAAGGAAGAAATGGAGTGTAGGTAACACTGCGTCATAAACCCATCATTTGGGAAGAGGAAGACTATTAATTCTCATGGTTCCTCATACCACAGGACAGAAAAGTAATAGTTCAAGTTGTATATGATGAAATCTAATGCTGTGGCATAATTTTTTCTCATCGATCGGTTCCCAGCCTATCTCGGGTGATTTATGAGAATAACAGGAGGGAGCGCTCACTGCAGGATAGCCAGGGTTGGAGAGGTTTATGTGAAATACTAGTTTCCAGAGTTAATAGATTTTCAATTATGGCCTATGGAATCGTGTTACATGCCTGGAAGCAGCCAGCCTGTGAGGGAACCAATCCAATCCTTGTTCGTTAGACCTCACCCACTCCTCCAGAGTAAGTATCAGAGAAGACAAGATAAGGTAAGAAAAGGACTTATTGGAACAGTGTCCTGGACCTGTCTAAGTCTTACCCTCCATAGCTAGGAGCCTAGTGTCCCATAAATATTCATTCCCACATCCTTACAGTTGAAAGACTGGAAGAGTCATGGTCCACAGAACCAGATTTGCAACTATTTTCTCAGTGCAATGTGGTATCCCAGCAGAGTCTAGAATCAGATATGGGCAGACTTAGCGGGGGCAATGAGTGCAAATAGGAATGAGCTAGTCAATGAAGGCTGAGTTTGAAACCTGAAGAGAAAAGAAGGAATTAGAAGTAGCAAACACTTCCTATGACGTGGAATCTAATCCCTCAACTATCTTTGTATCAAAAGCCCCTGGCCCAGCATTTGATATAAATGGACACTCAGGTGTTTATTGAATCAATGAATGGAACAAGTGTATGGAGTGTTCTTGAAATAGCAAAGACTTTTACTGCTCACTGTATAATCGTCTGTTCCTCCAGCTCCTGACCATCCTGCAGTGAAGTGGAGCTGTTACCTAGTATAGGCCAGAGGGCTGGGGATGGATTGACAGGAGGCACTGAAGGATTACTGCACTTCTTCTCGGCCATTTCACCACAGTGGCATCTGTGTACTTCTCATGTTTCCCATGATGTACACAGAAGATATGAGGACTCTTCTCAACTTGGTTTCTTCAGTGACCTCATGAAGCATCCTCCTCAAGTCCCAGGTAGCTTTGCACAGATAACGTGAATGAGCAATGTATCTGTGTAGTGCTAAGCTATTGAAATTTCTTCATTCAGTTCTGAATAGGTTAGCAATGTTCATTTGCCTATTGCCTTAGTCATCTTAGGCTGCTGTCACAAAATATCATCCACTGGGTTTCTTAGCAATACACTAGGTGTCATAGTGTCTGGTAAGGGTTCTCTTTCTGTCCATATTTTTATTTGTGTGGTTGTTTGTTTGTTTCAGACAGCCTGGATATCTCTTTGTAACTCAACATGACTTCAGATCCTGCCTCAACTACTTGATTGCTGGGCTAAAAATCCTCTTGATGGATTACAGACAGCTGTCTTTCCACTCCATGTTCATGGGCCAATCTTATATGCTTCTGGAGAGCTAACCAAGGTCTTTCTGTGTAATAATAGGCATATGCTCTACCA